GGGGGGAAGCAATGCCCCCAGAAATGTGTAATGGCAAAGCTACAATAAACCCAATATACAAAATCTAATTTCCATAACAGTACTCTGTAACACCAGGTGAGGACTTCAGATTAGTACAGATTTTGAGAGTAAATTGTTATCTGTTACATTACTTTCTAAGATAGTTGTGTCGTTCTGAACTACCCTGGCTCTTATACTAGGCTCAAATATTAGTGTTGAGTTCAGAGACCTCTCAAGTACACAGACTAAATCTTTGGGTAATGGGCTCTCATGCCAGATGGTAGATACAGGTTATACAATAGCCAAAAACAAAGCAAAATATAACAAACCCTCAAAGATATGTAGATAACTAACTTCAATAGCAGTCTGGTACCTAAATACCTTAAGGATCTGGGCCTAGATGTTGCTTTTTTTGCTTGCCTTTTTAACTATAATCAAACAAGAGAATTAACTGTAACTTCTGGATATAAAATTAATCTTTTTATATCTAATCTCAACAGTCCTTTAATGGGCTTCTCAAGGAAGTATATAATTTGTCTCAGGCAAGGATTTTTGGATAATAACTTTTATTGGACCAACTGTATAGTTGGGATAAGTTAGGTAAGCTTTTTGATGCAAAACAGTCTTCCTCAGATCCAAGAAGGAAAGCAAGCACAATGATTTTTAAGAACAGTGAGTAGATCTGTGAAATGGGAGCAGGGAGAAATTCCTAGGTGTAGCAGACAAACAATTAGTAAAAGGAAAGAAGCTTGATTACCAGGAGATCAAGATGGATCAAATGGAAAGAGGATCATGTAGTGTGTAGGAAGTATTTCAAGAATCAGGTAGACTGTAGAGCATCATAAAATCAGTATTCAGTCCTGGTTTTGTACTGTCCAACCAGGTTATGTAGTTTTGGTCTCAAGCTCACCTTTTAAAGGTGTTTGTTAGATGAGGCAATGGCAGAAAAAGAGTGCTTGTTCTGTGACTAATGTACTCCTGCTAACAAGTGTCTCTGTCCTTTCTTTATATTTTTTGAGTGAGAGTTCTTTTTGGTGCATAGTTGATGTTTAGGCAGGCAAAGCTCTTTGGGTAGATGTGATATCTTTTATTAGACCAACTGAATAGTTGGAAAACAGTTCTTTGCAAGCTTTTGGGTGCAATCACCCGTCTTCAGGCATAGGGAGTCTCTGCTGGTCTGAGACTCCAAGGAATGAAAGAAGCTAAAAGTGTGAGAGGATGTCAGTGAGAATGTAAATAGGTGGAAATTAGGAAA